TTTTTTTTTTGCAAACTGAATTACAGAAGATTGATTTCAGCTTCTTGTGATTTATATTTAGTAACTGGGTAAAGTAGAATGTGTGCTCTCCTAGAGGCTACAGCAGGGCTGTTTATCATGTGAGCATTTGGGCATATAAACTATAGACTGACATAGCTAAGGTTTCTGCAAACTGAAGTCGTTTTGTTTAGGACTGAGAGTTAATAGTTTTTCTTAGAAGCTAACGGTCTTTGCTTTTCTCTTATTTTAAAGATCATTTTTGTTCCTTTTCTCTAGAGAATGGTTTCTTTGTTTTCTATTTAAACTGTGTTTGTCTTTCACTGTTAGGTCACAGTTTGCAATAGTAGATACAGATGGGATATATTTAATAGAGGGTCCTTATAAGGCCAGAAGTAGAGCCTCACCAGTGTGTATCATCTTGTTCTTTGTGTTTATTTGTGTTTGGGCAGGTTTGTGTGATGGCAAGGGGATAACTGATGTTTCTGTCCGTGACCTATCGGTGTACATCAACAGCTACATACAACTTCTAATGTGCAAACTGTGATCTGTCAGATTGTACATTAGAGCTCATGCACATGCGGCTTCTCTAAATCAGACTTGAGTGGTTAAATATAGACCCCACTGATCAGATCCAAGACACGCCTGGTTGGATCAGACCTGTGCTATGTGGCAGGGGGAAGGGAGGTAACGGCTGACTGGAGAGTCAGTCTCTCAAAGCCAAACTCTCTTGTGTGAGTGGGAAAAAACAACAACTAAAAAACAAAATGACAACAATCACAAGAACTTCAGAGTAACAGAATAGTTTTGTGAATATGTTTTTTTTAAAAGAATGTAAATGTCTTATGTGTTTCAGAATCCTGTTGGTCTGCATTGCTCTTCTGTCCGCATATTCAATTCATCTTCTGCTAAAAAGTGCTGGAGTTGTGGGTAAGGCAGAGAATTACCAAGCATGTAGCCACAGAGCAATTTGTATGTTGATAGCTTGAACGCATACACAGAGTTTATGTGTTTTCAGGCATTCGGGCTTATGAGCAGCTTGGAAATCGGGCTTTTGGCCACCCAGGGAAAATGCTGGCTGCTGTCATCATAACAGTACATAACATTGGAGGTAATGTCGTAAATTTTCCTTCCATTTCCTTTACCTCTGACGCCGGTCATAAAACTATATATAAATATAAATATGAACGCAAAATACGTTTGTTTTGGTTTCTTTTCAGCTATGTCAAGCTATCTCTTCATCGTAAAGTCTGAGCTCCCACTGGTTATTCAAGCTTTCTTCGGTAAACAGGAGAACACGGGGTGAGTGTGAAAGCTATTTTCTAACTTAGAGTCACATAAATCAGTTTCATTTTTGTTTAGGAACACACTAATTTTTTTTTTTTGACATCTGTTCTTTTGGCTGTCTCTTAGAGAGTGGTTCTTGAATGGAAACTACTTGATCATCATAGTTAGTGTTCTCATCATCTTTCCTCTAGCACTCATGAAACACCTTGGTATGTTTTTCATTCTGTTGCACATTTTCTTTTTTTGCAATTATTAGTATTACTACTCATCCTCCCCTACTTGCATCATGTTTACACTATCCTTTGTTCTGCCTTGTTTTCATATCCTGCATTGATTAAATTAAAGTGACATTATTGCCTCCTTTTCTCTCTCTACTGTCTAAGACCATGAATAACGTTAACATTGTGCTGTTATTGCGATCCAGGTTACCTTGGCTATACCAGCGGTTTCTCGCTCTCCTGTATGGTGTTTTTTCTCATTTCGGTGAGACATTAAAGATACATACAATATAACCCACCGCGCTTCTGTTAAATATTTATCTTTGATTAAGCTATGAGCATGTCTCCTCAGGTGATATACAAGAAATTCAACATCCCATGTCCACTGGCAGATGATCATCATAACAAAACTGCTGCTGAGCATTACAGTGTTGATTCTACAGCAGATGGCTTCTGTGATTCCAAGCTATTTACCATGAACCCACAGGTTAGTGAACAAACATTTTCACGGTGCCTGTGCCTAGTTTCCTGCTGTGTCATGTGTATTTTTATTTAATGATTTGCACAGCACGTTATATTTTTTGCACCGGAGTGTATTAAGTCAACGAAACTAAGGTGTGTTATTTCAACAGCAGCGTTAAGAATATAGCAACCATAACTGTGTTACTGACCTTTGCTGTGTTTTGGCTGTAGACGGCATACACCATCCCAATTTTGGCTTTTGCCTTTGTCTGCCACCCAGAAGTGCTACCAATCTACACTGAGCTCCGAAAGTAAGTTTTAATTTTTTATTTTTTTACTGCTTCACACTGTAAGTTTTCAAGACAAATTATTGTAATTTATCGGTTTTGCTTTACTCTAGTGCCACCAAGAAACGCATGCAGAATGTTGCTAACATCTCCATCCTGGCCATGTTTGTCATGTATCTGCTGACAGCTCTTTTTGGTTACCTCACTTTTTATGGTAAGATGTGACCTTTCATGGCTATACAAGTGAATGGTCACTTTGTTATTCTGCTTTGAAGTGTTGTGAGATTTAACTTACAGTATTGTGAAAGAAGGAAACCACGCAAGATACTGTATATAAAAGGCTGTCTGCTTCTCTGTGTCCAGGCGCTGTGGAGTCAGAGCTGTTACACACCTATATTCGCGTGGACCCACTGGATGTCTTGATCCTCTGTGTACGCCTGGCTGTGCTTGTAGCTGTAACTCTGACTGTTCCTGTGGTTCTCTTCCCGGTAAGACATCAGTGATATTAGTTTAAGATAATAATTGCATAAAAGAGAAGAAGAATGTTTATACAAGATGTTGTTTAAGGGCACATGTACTATGAGAGCAAAAGGCTTAACTTTCCATATTCTTTCCATATGCTTTCATATGATGCTATAGGGACATTAAAGTGGGTGTGACTGTGGGTCCACATATAAAAATGTGTAATGGCATGATTGACAAATTTTTAGCCAATGATTGTACAACTTCACAGATAAATAGATAATCCTCCATTTTGAAACCCTGTCTGAATAAGATTTACTTTTTTTAAAAATTCAATATGACCATAATGAGTGACTGAGCCCAAAAGGTGAACCAGGAAGTTTTTACACAGGTCAAGATAGAAGTTTTCCCATAGACTACTAAAGGACTAAGTCTTTTGCAGCCACATATATTGCCATCTGGTGGCATTCAGATCAGAAATTGGCTTAAAGCACTTCTGCAAAATATGCTTCTTTTTTTTTATCCTAGAAGCTACATCCGTATTTTATACTATCTATATATGTGGCTAGGTAGTTGCTAGGTAACATGATAAGTTTTACCTGTAAGTCAGGTTTGGCTGTTCAGCTCTTGATCGTGTCAGATTAGGTGGTGACCAAAAAAACACAGACATATGCACATGCACACACAGAGAGATAGTTTTTGAGTTTTTGTGTATTATACAAAGAAAAATGCAGTAATATAGATTTTAAAAATTGAATAAAACTAACAGAAGGGTAGCAATTAGTCTGGTAATTGACTATTTTCTACATTAGTTAATTGTTAAAGAAATATACAGACCATTGGCTAAGTAAAAACAAACAACAAACATAATCACCCTTGACATCTGAACGAACCTAAAGATACTGTAGCTGTTTATTAAATCGGTTTTCAAGTCTGTTGTCTGTGTAACAGTTATAACTGGCATCATGTGAGTGAGGCAGAAGTGATTCATGATTTCTTGTGTGAGTAAATTATACTGACCTGAATATACTGGGCCCAGTATTGAGCCCAGTGGCACTCCAAGGCAACAGTTATTTTGAAGAATTTCATTTTTAAACTTATCTGTTAGATAGGCCTGAGAAAACTTTAATATTTTTGGACAATTTTTACCCAGGTTCACACAGGTTAGAATTATGCTGCAAGTTCATAGTAAACACAAGGACACATAGCATTAAGCAGTCTATAGTCCTAACTTCTGTATTGCTTCCTAACAGTGTTCCTATCTCAGCCATAAAATCCTAACATCACAAATCAATAACTGCTAATGTGGACTCTGCATCACATAACTGGCTCTGCCAAATGAAAATAATTCATGTACTGAAAAAGTTTGACTCTTTCAGTGCTGTGCCACAGTGAAACGATGAAACCCAAAGCAACTCTTTCACTTTCAGGAGTGTATTGACTATAAGGACTTTTTTTTTAACTTAACCTTCTTTAACTAATTTAAGAAGTATTAATACTTGACTGTTTGACAGACAATTTTTTAATGGAATAAAACATTTTAGTAGGAATTTTAAGACTGCGCAGTCTAAGCCCTTTAGAGTTAAATTATAGAGACTGACATAGTAGCGAGCTAAATGAAGGGAGGGTGACATCTTTGAAGCTTTTGCTTAAGGATTGTGACCAGGATCAGCTACTGTACAGCTACAGCTTGCTAGTTAACACGTTGTATTATTATTTCTTAACTACGTAAAAACCATACTGCAAAAATGGTAAGTTGTGGTTTAAACAGGGAACTACTGTGACCAACGAGCCTGCTTTTGTTGTGAGCTCTAAAGGTAATGCCAAGTTTTTTCACAAAAACATGCTAGCTGGTTCTAGTTTAAAGGTTAAGCTAGCTTAATACTAAATATACAAATATGAAAGTAGTATCCAGCTGAGCATATTTCACCCACCCTTTAACTATTTGTTTAAAGAGGTAGAAAAATGCTTCTGAATGTCCCTCTTTAACCTGAAACTTTAAACTATGTTAAGGTCTCGATTTTCAACATAATAAACTATTTTTTTTTAGCAAATGTGAGAAAACACCCATTAAAAGATTTGGATAAAGTTGACTTTACCCAACAGCTTCTTAATAGCTGTTCATTTAATACTACTTAAAGCAATGAACCTAAATCAGGTTTAAAAGATTATCAGTCTTAATATTTGTCATCTGATCTTATTCTTCATTTTCTTACTGTCTGCAGATCCGCAAGGCCGTGCTTCAGATCTTCTTCGCTGACAAGCCTTTCCACTGGGTTAGACACATTGGCATTGCCTTTTGTCTCCTGGTCGTGGTCAATCTTCTTGTTATCCTGGTGCCCTCCATCCGTGACATCTTTGGCATTATTGGTATGTTTACACAGCAAAAATGCAGCTGCTCAGTTCCGAAATTGGGGCTATTCTTGACTCTATATGGGATTTTCTTTTACAAGCTTCGGTTAAAATCATAAATCTCTAAGTTCATGATAGTACAAATAGAAAAAATATGTATATATGGATCATTTGGAAGAATTGCGAGAAGAAAGCTTCTTCTTTCTAAAGAACATAACAACATGACATGCATCGGAACAAATGACTCCTGGAACAATGTCCTTTGGACGGATGAGATTAAAATGGAGCTATCTGGCCATAATGCACAGTGCTGTATTTGAAAAACAAAAAAAACACAGCATATTAGCACAAATACCTCATACCAACTATCAAGCATGGTGGTGGAGGGGTGATGATTTGGGCTTGCAGCCATAGGACCTGTGCACCTTCCAGTCACTGAGCCAACCATGAACTTCTCTGCATGCCAGAGAATTCTGGAATCAAATATGAGGCCATCTGTCTGACAAATAAGGCTTGGCCCAAATTGGCTCATGCAACACGACAGTGATTCCAAACACACCAGGAAATCTACAGCCGAAATAACTAAAATGGCCCAGTCAAAATGCAGACCTCAACCCATCTAAAATATGGATGCATAAATAAATGCCTACTAACCTCAGTGAAATTAAACAACATAGTGTACATAGAGTATAATTATTTTTTTTACAGGACTTCATAGTCTACATTCAAACTGACTTTTTCATATAACTGTAACAGATGTCATTTTCCTTTTATTCTTGGCTGTTTGATGAACAAAAATGTGTTTTATGGTTGAGTATAAAAAGGTTTAGTAAAATATTTTTATTATACTGACTAGATCATCTGTAAATCATGCTATGAATTATTTCTAATAAATAAACTCACTTATTTATTCTGTGCTATCATCTACAGGAGCCACATCCGCCCCCAGCCTCATTTTCATCCTACCCGCAATTTTCTATATCCGAATTGTTCCTGAAGACCAGGAACCCCTGCGGTCAAGATCTAAGATTCAGGTATATCCTTCCTCTATCAAAGATGGTATTAACTGTTCTTGGTCATGTTAATCTCCATATATTAGCTTTTATCTGTTCTTAATACACATGTTGTTTTCTTATCCTTTATTACTGCAGGCCATATGCTTCGCTGCATTGGGATTTGTCTTCATGATCATGAGTTTGTCATTTATTATCATTGACTGGGTGACTGGAGAGAGTCAAAGTGTAGGTGGGCACTAGCTGCTATAACTGAACAGAGGTACTGCACACAGAACGTCAACCAAAGCCCTCTTTTTCATTAAATTAGCCCCATCTTCTCATCCAAAGCCAAACTAGAAAGTTTGACTACACAAGATGAAGGATAACGTGAAGAGCCTTCGCCTACATCAAAAAAACAGGAAAGTGTTTTTACATGTGATGGAGCAGGCGATATGTCCTGTACCGGAGGAGAGAACACAAATGTATGAAAATACAAAGCAAAGTGTTCTGCCTCGATCAGTCCTGTCACAGCTCAAACTAAGGATTTTGTTTGGGGTCATATATAGATTTGCAGCAAATGCTTTGAATGAGAAAAAAAGTGGAAATTCCGTTTTTGGATGTGGATAGTTCCTTGGAATTGCTCAGTCAATGTCTACATTTCACAAATCTACTTCCCTACCATGTCAGATTTTACAGAACTTACATGTATTACTTTTGTAAGGCAATATTTTCTTTGCCTGAGACATTTGTCAGCTATGGTTTACTTTTACTTTTATGACTGACAAATCTGCCATTTCCCCAAACTTTACCGTTTCAGCTAATTATGGCCTTCGAGGGTTAGTCTGCAGTTCCACACAAACAACTGCTTATGATCAAAAACGTTTTCAGTGAATTTAACATGGATTCTAATCAATGCGTTTAATGTGATATTTCATCCATTTAAAAAAAATTACTGTCACAATTATGGTCATTGTGAAGTTTCCCAGTGACCTGGCAAAATACGGTGCAATTTATGGGATTTCTTTTTTGTTTTTTGCTGCTGTTCATGAAGGTCAAACAGACAGTCATGTGTGAGAGGTTTGTGAAAACCGAAACAAAGTTTTTATGTGAGCCTGAACATCCATAATTGAAAACCAAAGAATCTATTTATTATGTCACATTGTGAAAGAGTGTTTCTTTTTCTTTCTTTTTTTTAACATGCTTGGCAAAGACCAGTTAAAGTTGTACATGAATTCATCCAGTGTTATAAATGCTGCGTATGTTTAATCAGTACCAGAAACTTTTCATTGTGATCAATAATGGCTTCAAAGTGGACCTGTTATGCTTTCACTGTTTTTATCTCAGTCATATACATAACTCTTACAAGGGGTGTGCTCATCTTAAACAAGTTTGAAGTACTGAGGTTAGCAAGTCCAAGTAATCCTGAGAGCAGAAAGCTCAGACTTCAGACTGCTCTAAATGCTCATTTCCTTATTTGTGACAGTTTTAGCTGCTGCTGCATAAGATCTTTATTTGCTGTTTGAACCACCTGCTGTTCAAAACCTCTGTTTGCAAAGGACAGTTGGTCAGAAAGAAGTCTGTTGAAAGGACTTTGGGTGCTCTGGACCATCTGAGGGCTTGCAGTAAAGTCCACTAAGCATTATTTCAAATGAAGCATGCAAAGCTGTTCTAATAGACTGAAATACTCAAAATACGAAGCACAGTGGGTCCTCTTTAAGCAAGAATTAGTGAAGTCCTTTTTTTGTTTTTAAAATGTGACTAAGAGACCTGTTAACATTGTAATTCATCCTGTACATTTTTAAATTAATTTGAATGTTGTTAACTGTCAATAAAATGTGTTTTATTTGTACATAATCGTCTCTTTTTTTAAAAATTTGTATAAGAGGTCGCATAAACTCAGCGTATCTAAAAGAACGTTACTTGAGGAGGAGAGATATAACATTGCACTTCCTCCTTCTGAAAATGGAAGTAACACGTTTGTGCTCTGGGTCTGAGCGAGAGAAGAAAAAATGTGGTCGTTCATTTCCGGCTTTGAGTTGATGTGTGCAAAGAAGAGAGAAGAGAAACTTCCTTGACTGTAGAGCTAACTATAGAGAGTATTCTGTTGCAAGGGCGCTTGTTCAAATGCCGTGCATACAGTAGTTTAGGATAACCGGTTTTATCACAGGACTATGAGTCGTGGATCTAAAACTAAAACAGAGAGCACTCAAAGCTTTCTGCTGAGCCCACAGGAGAATGACAAGCTGGAGGAGCTGCTGGGCAGAAGGTGTGCTGTAAGTTCTTAGCTGACCCGGGAGGGGATTACCAACTGAAAGAATGTCGCTCTGCTTTATCTGTCTTGACTTGTATCCTTTTCGTTAAAAGCGTTTACCTTAAAAGAAGGCGGCGTACACTGGAGTACACATCATTCTAATTGATGCACAGTTTAACAATGGGTTGAGGACTGTTATACTTTTAACACAGCATTGTTGTACCATCATTTTCTCAACTCTTTTGGCAGATTATTTTCTTAATGCTTTTAGTCGCTTTATTTTTGGTCCATTTGAAGGCCTGTCTTATTTTACTCTATATTTTTGAAATCTATTGATAGTTTATGTGAATTCAAGCATTATTTGCTGACATTAGGTCATCAAAAAGTAGGTAGCTGTAACAGGAAATGGTGGCTGAACCAATTCTTCCTCTGCTGTCAGAATTAGTCACTATGCTCAGCTTTGGCCTTGTTCAGTTCTTGCTTTTGGCCTCTGAGGTAAACAATAGCGTTTACAGTTGTGACCCCGCCATAATAACAAAACACTAGATGTGCACAAGCTACACATTTTAATTGCGTAGAAGGCTGCATTGAAAAACTAGGAGCATCACAAACTTTAAGCCTTATCTGAACAAATGAAAGCAGATGAGGAAGTTTATTCTCACTGCAAAGCTGCAAATTTACATATGAACTGTAATAAAGAGCTCTCAAGTTTCCTATCAGCTCTGAGCTCTTTTCATAGTCTGTCTTGTCTATGTGTTCAGTCCATAGCCACCGCAGTCGTACAGCTGTTCATGGCTCTACCTAACAGTTCATCCATGTGGAGCTTGCAGCACACTGGGGTGGCCTGTTTCGTCAAAGACAACCCTCAGCGCTCCTATTTCATACGGATGTTTGATTTAAAGGTAACCCCCTACATAATGGGTCCCGTATTAGATAGCTTAGATTAAGTTTCTAATCTCACAAGACTGACATATTAATTCACTCTTTTTACAGGTTGGGAGTATGGTTTGGGAGCAGGAGCTCTACAACCAAATTGTGTACTCAGCCCCAAAGCAATTCTTTCATACCTTTCCTGCTGATGTAAGCACACCCCTTGTTTTAGCTCATCTTAAAGCTGTAATTATGATGTGATGTGGTGCAATTACTTCTGGTGTAATCATCACTATAGGTCAAAAATCATCATTCCTGATTCTGTGTGCGTTTGTTATACACTGTAGGACTGCCAGGTCGGACTGAACTTCTGTGATCTGCACGAAGCTGACTTATTCCAAACTGCTGTTCAGGAAAAAATCAACCAAAGAAACACCCGTCAAGGTCAGTGAGGCCACAGCCTTTCACTGCTTTGATGTCTCATTTTAGAATTGGAAAGCAAAGAATACATTTGAAATATTATGGTTACCACTTACTCACAATTTATTTGTGTATAGATGGTTTGAGATTAATATATATGTTTGAGAAAGCACTGTGGGGGAAAAACAAACATTAAAATCACACTAAATGAGGAAGTTTTTTATTTTATTTTTATCAAGTACCCTATTCTAGTACTCTTAGAAAAAAATCGCTTCCAGGCTGATACGTGGTTATATATGAAATAACAAGTCGTTCATTTGTTTCAACGGCTGTGTGTGGGGTTTATGCAAAATGGTTTCTCTCACCTCTCTCACAGATAAGAAACAGCGCCCCCCGCACACTAGTGGTAAGATGGCAAAAACTTCAAAACAGTATGCTGTGTAAACGTGGCAAACTGTAGTGCTACATATAATTTTCTGTTTTCTTTCACTGCAGACAGAAGTTCCCTGCCTCCACTCCCACCTGAAAAAGGTGTGCAACTGCTGTCTTTGCTGTGTACCTTTTACTATTGATACATAAAATGAAACATACTAGGAACATATTAACCAGTGAGCTAATATGGACGTCTTCCAAAAACAGGACCTAGTGGCCCTCCTTCTTTTCACATGGCCACAGTGGACATTCAAAACCCAGATATCCAGTCTTCACGCTATCGCTCGGTGCCTACACCTGCTGCTGCCTCTGCTGCGACAGGCAAAGGAAAGAAGGACAAGAAGAAGAAGCAGAAAAAAGGCCTCAAGCTCTCCAAAGCAGACATAGGAGCACCTAGTGGATTTAAGTGAGTGTATGACTCGCTGAAAATGAAGTTTTATCAGAGGTTTTAGAGCAATGTTCATATTTTGTTGTTTAAATTTAACTTCAATAAACTGTTTCCTTCTTCTTTCCTTCCGTCAGGCATGTAAGTCATGTGGGGTGGGACCCTAACAACCTGGACCCTGACCTGATGCGGCTGCTGTCTCAAGCTGGCATTAGTGAAGCTGAAATGAGGGATGAAAGAACCTCTCAGCTCATCTATAATGTAATTGAACAGTCAGGAGGGATGGAGGCAGTCAAAAGGGAGGTGAACAGATCAGGTTAGACTCTCACTGCCTCGTTTTTGACTCAGTTAACTATCTCACTGTTCCAAACAGGCTGATCTCGTTGTTAAACCGTGGATGAGTTGTAATATATGTTTATACCTTCTTCCACTCAATTGTAGCTACAGGACCTCCACCTCCTCCACCTGGCAGACAGGGGCCCCTCCCTCCGCTACCAGGCTCTAGCCCCTCTGCTCCAACCCCTCCACCCCAGCGAGGCCGTTCTGGCCCCCTGCCTCCCATTCCAGGTCATTCACAGCGAGCAGGCCCGCCTCCCCAGCCACCTCCTTCTCGTGGATCTTTACCACCCCCTCCTCCATCAAGCCGAAGCGGCCCTCCGCCACCCCCGCCATCACATGCTCCACCTCCTCCATCTTCAAGGTCTCCTCATGCCCCACCTCCCATGTCTTCCCACGGCGCTCCTCCTCCTCCACCACCAAGCCAGCGCTCCGCAGGTTTTCCACCTCCTCCTGTCCCGTCTACACCCAGCAGAGGGGTTGGTGGTGGAGGAGGAGGAGGAGGGGGGGGGGGGGGGGAGGGGGGAGGAGGGGGAGGGGGAGGGGGCCCACCTCCTCCTCCTCCACCACCACCACCGCCACCTCCCCAAACTTCAGTTTCTTCAGATTTCCCTCCTCCTCCTCCCATATCTGGCGGTGCACCACGACCTACTTCCACTTCCGTTGGTGGAGGAGACAGCAGAGGAGCTTTGCTGGATCAGATCCGACTCGGGAAAAAACTGAGAAATGTAAAGAAACTCGGCTTTCTCAAGAACATCTGTTACATAAGTCAAACGTCTTGATTTTCATGCTGCAACATGCCGAGATATTTGTAGAGCGTACTGACGTTTACATTTTGTCCTCCTGTGGTGTCGTGTATTACAGGTAACAGACGACCCTAATCCAGCTCCACCTGCATCAGCAGAGTCAGGTGAAGGCATTGTCGGTGCTCTCATGATGGTCATGCAGAAGAGAAGCAAAGTCATCCATTCCTCTGGTAAATATTACACTACCAGTGACATCTTTTTATGTACACTCTGGTCTCTTTATTAGGTACACCTATTCAGATGCTTATTAATGCAAATATCTAATCATCCAATCTCATAGCACTAAATCAGTACATTTAGGCATGTAGATGTAGGCAAGACCACCTACTGAAGCTCAAACTGAGCATCAGGATAATGAAGAAAGGTTATTTAAGTAAGCGGATATGACGTGTTTTGGTGTTGGTGCCGAATGGGCTGGTCAGAGTGTTGCATAAACCGCTGATATACTGATGTTTTCCTGCACAATCATCTCTGGTTCACGTACAATCGTCTGAGAAAGAAAATATCAGGAAGTTATTTGGATGAACTGCTGGATAGCAGGAGCAAACCTCTGGGCAAACATGTCTCGTTAAAGTTGGAGGAGAATGGCCAGACTGCTTTGAGCTGTTAGGAAGGCAGCAGTAACAGAAATACTCACTAGCTGCAATCAAGGTAGGAACACATCCAAACTCCCATCTTGAAGAATATGAGCTGCAGCAGCAGAAGACCACACTAGGCGTCACTTCCCAGGCTCTGATCTCATTCCAATAGCTCACCTTTGTAATGTGATGGAACAGGAGATTTGCATCATGGATGTGAAGCTGACAAATCTGCAGGAACTGTATGATGCTATCATGCAAATATGGATCAAAATCTCTGTGAAATCTTTCCAGTAACTTGCTGAAAAACTAAAGCAGTTCTGAAGGAAAAAGGGGGTCCAAACCAGTGCGAGCTAGGTGTACCTAATAAAGTGGTGCGTGAGTGTATGCATGCATGAGTTAAACCATCAGAGCTACAAACACTTTATATTTGTTCTGTCTTTCAGATGAAAGTGAAGATGACGGTGGGGATGACGATGATGATGACGATGAATGGGATGACTGATCTAGCTGTTCTTGTTTTTTGTGAATTTTCCACTTGCTTGAGTTCTGATGTTTGTTTTAACCCCATGAACTGTTACATGCGATGATCTGTTACAGATTTGTTAACTGCAAACTGGAGTATAGCTTGGATATGTGATAAAGTACTGTTTGTAGGGGATTCGTAAAAAAAATGAAATAAAATGAAAGAAATATTTCAATATGAAAGATCGAAAGGAACAAATTGATGAGAATTCTGAAATGCTTATATTTTTTTCTAACACTTCCAGTGTAGGATTCATGAGCATCACAACACATAGCAGAGGTGAAAAGCGGCTCCGAGTGGAAAATATGCTTAAAGAGCCATTTAAAAAAGACACAAACCCAAAAACCAACCTGTGACTACAGCTTATGACAGAACACCAACAATACTAAATCTGAGCCAGTTTCGTTCCCATTTTTATAACATACTATACATAAAAAAAGTAGGTTCCTGTATCATATTCTCAAACGTCTGTGCAAAAATCCCCAGTTCCCTCAAATACCACCACCTACAAAGTGCATGACTGGAAGAACACTGTACGCTATACATAGCCTCAATACTCACATACTGTAGGTCACTAATGCACAGGACAGTAAGGGAGTCATTGTATGACAAAATCCAATGGAATTAGCTTAACATAAAACAATACACCTTACAAACATCGTAACACACCAGAAAACAGAACAGTTAAATGTACAACTTGCAACAAACAACAACAGTACGCATGCAAAATATGCATTCATGTCATCGTTATGCAAGAGCAATCCAATGACTGCATCACGACCTTATATATTATATTCACAATCAATATATTACATTTCTGTTTCAAGATACTTAAAAGAGAACATACTTGTGTTTTTGCGTGTTGGAGCCCGTTAGCTATATCTTACATATACTTTACATCACAGTCAGCCTTTGTCCAAATCAACACCAAAGTGTGTGTGAAATATGTGATCAACCCCAATGTGCAGTCTGTTATTCATTCATTTTTTTTAACCACATTGGTAATACAGCTGTGTTTTGGAGAATAGAAATGTATGCTACAACTTAGAATGTGGTCATCAGTAGTGTAAAATATATTTCATATGTATTTACTGGGCTGGCGTTTGCAAAACCACCAATACACGTTAAGGACAGAAAGACAGCATCGCCTGCCTAATGAATAGAAGTGACACCCAAAGATGTGTCAAATGAAAGTCCACCATAAAGTCTATACAGGCCAGTGCCAGACAGTGTTGGTCCCGTCTCCTAGCCGAGCCCTTGGTCCTGGCTTTCTGTGTGCCTGCGGCTGGTGCGCTTACGCTGCTGCTGCTGTTTGGGACTGATTTGTTCCCAGTAGGACTGACAGTACTGGTTGATCAGTCTAATCTCAGGCGGGAATGGTGTAGAGGCGAGGGAGGACTGCGAGTATGGCCGTGTCTGATGAGTTTTTGGCTCTTCGTCCTCGTCTTGAGCGGTGAGAGCTAAAACGATGTCTCGGTCAAGGATGCGCAGCGCAATGCGGGTCACCGTGTGTTTAAAGTTGTTTTCAGTGGCGAGGCAGTGGTAGAGCCCAGCGTCTGTTTGGTTGAGAGACTTCAGAAGGATGCCGTGGTTGGTCTTAACAACCCCTCCGGCACGGTTGAGCTGAAGGAAAAAGGGTGAAACAGCAGATAAGTCAAAGAAAGGGAACAAGTTTAAATAATAATTTTAAATAATAGGGCAAATAATTGTCCTGTGGAAACACAGAAACAGCCTCTTATATAAAAGGTAGCAAAATGCACGTGTTCTTATTTTAATACGTAAAATTATTTTGCTTTATATACACAGGGTCTGCTGTTGCTTACAGCATTGTGTGGCTATTTCTAAGCTGGAAGAAGGGACTTTTTTTCTTTGTTGCCAGTGATCACAAACCTCGATACTTACTGGAAAAAAATAAACTCTCAGCAATAAAAGCAATAAAGATAGTTACCAAAAAGTGAAGTGATTTCTTTTGCATCTTAAAAAAAAGATTGCTCTTCCTCACCACTTTCCTCTTTCCTTCTCTCTGGAAGAGCCACTTTACTGTGGCCTGGGGAGAACGAGGCTGACACTCCAAGAAGGTGCTGCTGCCCTCTACTCCAAACTGCACTGTCTCTCTCAGACGTTTCTCAACTGGACATTTAAATGGTAAAAAAAAATAAAGTAAAAAAAAATGCTAAATTTTCAAGTTTACATCATTTTAAAAACACATAAAATTGCCACACCTTTGGCGTTAAAGCCTCTGCACTGCCTCAGCGGGTCGCCGTGTTTAACGTCCTGTCTTCTGCTTCTCCTGAGATAGAATTCAAATTCAAATTCATTGAAATTTGACGTTATATTGTCACATCCTTACTTTATAGTATAGAGGTTTGTGAGACGTCCCTAACCTTTTGGTTGATGGCGTGAAAGCAGAGCAACTCTCGCCATCCCAGGCACAGTAGGGGTCCCGAGCCAGACAGCAGTCAGAGCAGGCCCTGCCGTACACCCCGCAGCGGTGAAGCGACACTTGGGTCAGCCCTGCGTCTGATGACACGTACAGCTGTTGCTGTGGCAACACAAGCAAAAAAAACAAACAAAAAACTCAGCAAGTGTCTGTGGGGCATTTGTTTTAATACATGCAAAGAAATGTATATGACCAGGTTAGATTTGTCTTACTCTTTTAGATGATATTTTCATAGTCTTGACTGGTGCTCTGGTCTAAAAATGTATTAAAAAAAGAAAAATGTAAAAATAAATGACCCCTTTTCTTAGAACACACTGCACTGTGTACTTTTTAGGACCACACATTTAGACATACCCGAAAAACCTCCACTTCCTCTAGTGTCAACTCCTCCATGCTCGTTGGGTCCTTAGGCAAAACGATTACCTTTTGCACAGTGCCTCGATCTAGAAGTATGAATGAATTATGATCAAAAACAACATTTGCATGAAAAAAAAGAAAGAAATCAACTTCAACCGAGCATGTGCAATCATCCCTGAAGTTGTCTCACCTGTCCCCAGGAAGAGCACTTCATAGCGCCCATCAACAGCATCCACCTGATCCACCACCAGGGCAGTGTACCTATAGTCCACACCAGTTCTCACCACCAGGGGGCGGCGATGGATAGGATAAACTGAATGAAACATGAGGGGATGGGCTCTGATGAAATTCACAGCCTCATCTGAAAAGTTCTTTGAGGATCGGATACCAGGAGTGAAGGTTCCTCCCGGACACTGGGTGGAAAAAAAAAAGGAGGGGAGATTTCGTGTGCATCATCTGGTGACTTCCTTTTGATTTAAATTTCAGCATCTGGGTTTTATTCCATTGTGTCATTTTGGACATTACGTGACAGAAACCTACCGTTCCAGGCCTTGGGTAGGGAATCTTGCCAGTGTACTCTGTCCATTGATAATTATGGCCATGTTTGTGGGCAAACGGTCCGTTGAATACGTTGCGGATATCAGCCATCGAGTAAACACAGACTGCTGATCCCTTGAACACAGAGCTTGAGCACAAACAGACAATTAAGGTAATAAGTAGAGGTAGGAGACAGCTTGCACCCTACCCATGAAATTAAGTTATGTCCACAAAAATGTGTGAAAATAAAAACTGAGTTAATGAGATTGAATGAGAAGTGAATTCATTGGGCGAGTCTCCAAATATGTCTCACCCTGCTGTAGTGAAGAGAGCGTACACCATAGGGTTTCGTTCATCCTGCGTTGGCTGTATAAACACATCCCCTATTAAAAGAATGACATGCAAATCAATAACGCTATAGGCAAGTTATAATGCAACCAGTTTAAACACAGTGCTTATTTTATTATGACTTTACGTAGTTCGTCAAATCGTGTCTCCACCCCGTCTTCTCCTATCACCGAACAGATAAGACGAGCCTTCAGGAACGTCGTCCAGCGGTTCACCAGGGACTTCTGTCCTCCTTCGTCATTCTAGACAGGAAAGAAATTAGGTCAATGCATTTTATATTAAAAAGGTGAGCTGCTTATAGTTTCACAACTTGCGCAGTGTGCTTTGGCTCACCAGACACACTCTTCCCACCCTGGCTAAAACAGTGGGACTCGCCCCGCCGCTGGAGTCTAGACTCTTCTCTCGGAAAAAGAAGTACAGTTTGTCGTCATTCTTTTCTGCACTGTCAGGGATCTGCTGGATTCGAATAAACACAGGCTCTGGAGGATAAAAACAGATAAGCAGAGAGAGGATTGAGGCAAGTGGTTGTCAAAAAAATGAACGGAGCAATAACCTGTAATCAGTAATATTTACCTACTCAGACCCACACTTACTCACCGTTGAGCCATCTGGAGTCATACTGCTCTGTCCTGATTGCCGTTCTTCCTCCCATGGTCCTAAACACAGCAGCATCTGTACTCATGAAGTCGATATGTACCCCTGCATATAGATTACCATCTGCACAGGTGGGACAGTAAAAAAACAGGGTGGTAAAACAGTAGCTTAAGGAGTTTGAGAAGGAATTTAGTGGGTTTTTTTCTGGCTATAAATCAGTCATGTCTTACTGATCAAAACTGCAACATTCTCCTGTTTGGGATCATAGGAACATTTTCCCTTCCCCGAATCCACATACCCAGGGACCAGCCTAAACAGGTAGTCCTGCAGAGGCAGATTAGATAGTCAGTATGCATGAAAATAGACCGCTAAGACATCACAAGGGAGCATGGGAAATCATAAACAAATCAGCGCCCCGGGTGGTAGCTGTGAAATATTTAGCGAGGACAAAGCTGGAGGGGTTTTGCTGTAAATGCCTCTAAGGGAACGGTAATCGTCTTGTTCACCTCTGCCCTCCAGCCTCTGTTGATGAATGTGCAGATGGGTTGGTACGCTCCTGTTCCACAAGTGTAGAGGTGGGTGCGGTTCCACGGCTCTATCAACCGCACAAAGTTGGCACATTCACCCTGACAAAGGAGAGTAAGACAAATGGAATCCAAACACTGTATCTTGAAAGCAGGAGCCTCCAACTTTTTTGAAAGAA